CCTGACCCCGCGCGCCCCCCAAAACTCGGCAACCCCACGGCTGGTACGCCAGGGCCAAATTGCATTAAAATGATAATAAAATGAAAATAAAATGCAAAAAACATTAAAATGATATTAAAATGATATTAAAATGGATCCACTGGAGCATGGGGGTGGGCGAGCTTACCCGGGGTAAGCTCTCCCACCCCCATGGTCCGGAGGGCTCCCCAGATAACAAAACTGGCCACCAAAAGCAAAACTGACTGCGCCGCGCCGGCGCCAACCAGCCCTCGAAACGAACCCTCCGGAGCGGCCCCGCCCAGCTCCAACCCATTTCCGTGAACCCACAACCCTACCCGGCGTGCCTCACGTAGGTCGCAGCAGTCCAGGAGGCTGTTTGTTTTCATAGATGTGTCTCTGAGAATCCCATGAACTCTTCAATTTTCAGGTGATGGGGCCTCCAAATCTTGACCTGCGACCCTGCAGATCTGGAGCTTCATGGGGCAAGCACCATTTATTGTCATTTTAATATCATTTCATTTTAAGGGGCGGGGTAAGCTCCAGGGGTAAGTTGCAAAAACTACTGATTCATGGCATTTTTTCGACATCGGTTAGCGAGTCTGTCTGGGAGTCGAGCAGGCTGCAATGTGTGCACCCATGCAACGCGTCGGTGCCTCGGGGTGTTTCTGAGCGTGTGATAAAGGAATAGCCGGCACAGCCACATCCCACATAAGATCGTAAGCCACAATGCTTTGCTATGCAGGATGGAAGCGAAGCGCTGAGCCGTCTCACCCACAAAGAGGTGCCCATGTGGATGCGCGTTCGCGAGAAAGCATCAGAGTTGTCAGAGCACCAGGCCTAGCACGTTCCAGGCAGAAGACTCAGACTTCAGCCTGGACTGGTGGTCAGGCCTGTGGGCACCATGCCAGCAATGCCGCATCGAAGCGCCCGCCTCCGGACCTGCTCCAAGCCCACTTCATACCCTCTTAGTACGCTGAGATATGGCTAGCTGCATTGCAACAAGGAACAGAAAATCTTCCGTGATGCATGGGCATTGAAGTAGGCTCAGGAACTCGACTTGAGTGTGATGACTGCCCGCTCAGCTTCGGTATGAGGAAGAAAAAGTCAGCAGGAAGTGGCATAACTGAATCAGACTCCAACAAGAGCCTCCAAAAAAACCAACCGCGAATAGTAGCAAGCAAGAGGATAATAAAAGAGATGAAAACAGCAAATAAGGGAAAACAATTGCAAATAGAGGAATGTCACAGCAGATAAGAGCAAATCATAGCCAATGCCAGTAAGGGATCTTAAAAACTTTGGCTCGCGTTGGGAGGGCACATGGACAATTCAACGTCACAGTCATCCTCTCCTCTCCTCGAAATTCCTGATCTTACGTTAGTAGAGAACGAGGAAATAGAATCCCTGTATAATCCCCATACACTATTCCCTGTTCCCTTATTCCCTACAGTATTTACCTGCAGTAAGTGGTTGCAGAAATGCCTTGCATTTATCTTGTCGTCAACAATGTATAACTGTATAACTTCAATGTATTAGGGGATTGCACATTCACGCTTCTGGTTGGTGCCGAGAAATCCTGTATAACACTGGCTTCAATTTCATTATCCATGTGATTTTCCATGTGATTCTCCATTGCACTATGCCGCTATCTACAACACCTACGAAGTCACCATATGGCTTAACCCATCATTGGGAGAATTGCCCTGTTATATTTACCCCTAAGCCCGAAAAAAAATGGCAGTATCCTTTCTCCTTTCCATCCCCTATTTACCCCAAAATGTCCCTGTATAATCCTGTTGAACCTTCAACCCTATATCCTAACCCTAAACTCTCAACCTTCTCCTCTTAGCCTTCATGTACTTCCCTGATGCCACGCCCAGGCTCCCGGCGCGCAACTCTCGAACAGCACATGCGGAAAGCGCGACGTGATAGTCTGCACAAATCTAGGGGATGCATATTAATATATCTGTATATGTATATATATATATGTACATGCATAATTATATAGATAGGGTTACATAGGGGATACATATTGTTGAGGGGAAGCATCTGAACAACGGGTGCAAAGTCTGTGCACTCTCAGTGCAAGAGTACGAGCAATGCGAGAAACCTCGAAGATCCGGTAGAGTCCGAGCACGTACCGGTGGTAGACCTGCGTAAGGCAAGCGGTTGGTTATGTGCGATAGTCCGTGAAATCCACGTTTCCAAAGCATTCCTGCTACTCCAGCATCTTGCAGTCAGGAGGCTTCACCCTGCTGCCGCGGCCTCAGGACGCGAGGTAGCTTTACCGGGGCTCTACGTCAGCGATAAGGGCGTTAAAGAAGAAGGCAGAGTTTGACAACACTCCATTCCAACAAACGGGAGGAGCTTCCATGCTGTTGCCGAGCTGCGGCAGTGCCGCTGAGAAAGCATCCGTGAGGGCCCGGTTCATATCCCACCTCAGAAGGGTGTTGATGCTTTTCTGTCACAAGCCCTCACGGCTTGCCCAGAAAGGTTAATCAAAGTGCACAGGGTATGGATCAGTGCCTTGTTAGGGTTATTGAGTTTGTGGGATAAGCACCTCCGAGAGCAACATGTGGGTGTTGCAACGCAAAATCAACATTCAGAAACATTGCTTTTCGGGGTGGGACGACGGACACGGGCCTGGGTTGAATATACCTTGTGGACTGCTGCACTTTGCGTTGAAACCTTGAGATGCTGCGGGATGGAACTCTATATAACCCTATATAACCCTATATAACCCTGTGTAACCCATGAAATCCTATGTCATAACCCTAAATAACCCCTATACAAGAACTGACGGTCAACTCTCTGAAAGTCCTATTCTTCCTGTCTAAGTGCAGCTGGTGCTACTTAACGTACTCAATGTTCGCGCTTTTGAGCACCTGCGGCTGGACAGCGGCTGGGCTTCAGATTGGTTTTTTGGACTGTTTGTTGGTGGTCTGGGCGTGCTTCCTGAGGCGTGCGCAGCGCCCACAGCCTCGATGATGTAGTCCTGCAGGTCAGCAGATCATGGTGCTAGCCCATGCTGACGTGACCCGTCGCATGTTAATGGCCATACAACTGCAGCTTCCGGGTTGCGAAGCGTCGGTTTCGATTAAACCTGAAACTGTATTCCGCACTGGCGCTGTATGTTATGATATCGTAGAGGGCAAAAGGCAGCTTCTATCTGGACACGTGGCAAGAGAAAGAAGCCACGAATCCTGAACTTCGATGCGGGTCAAGTCCAGGACCAGCTGGTTCCTGCGCAGGTGCTTCCATGAGCTCAAAGCCAGACAAGCCCTGAAACAGCTCAAGATCCAGCATACAAACCCAATCACTACCCCTCCAAACCAAAGACATAACATCGTGCTGATGCCAACTGGCAGCCCTTATCACGAGCCTTCAGCAGAGGACCTAAATGGCTTTGCGTGCCTTCCCTCCGAACGAAGCCGGGCAGGATGGTGAAGGACCTGATAGCTAACATCAGCTTAATAGCGATATGTAGCGATGCTGCTGGCAAAATCACTGGAAGACTTGGAAAACCGGCCCACTCAGGATGGCTGTTGTAAAGCTCACTGTCCTGCAGCATAATTTTGAGACAGCTAAACTCTGCACGCTTCACGCAGAAGCCAATGCGCTTCGTGAAAACTTCAGGCTGTCCTTGTTCACCATCTCGGGCTCCACCCAAAGGCCAAGCTTGAGACCCATCTCGTTGAGGTCCTACGAAAAAAAGGTGTGAAACTGGGGCCTTTTACACGCCCAGCTGAGAAGATCAAAGGCACAGGAAGGCCTTGCCTCTGCCAGCCCCTTGAGGCCTGCAGGCGCAACATGACAGTCCCGTCCACGCGTCAGGCTGACGTCTATTTCTGTCAAAGCGCTCCCGCGACAAACGAGACCCCACACAGGATTAGAGTTTGCCCTAATCCTTTGCCCGTAAGACATGCTCAAATCTAGGTGTCGTTTTTCGTATGACTTTTAGGCTGCTTTTTGTATGGGACCTCTCGCGCTACATCCATACCGTGCAGAATCACCAGCCAGCACAAAGACTTGTGCACCTTTCAAAGCTGATGCTTGGCACAGGATTGTTTATGAAAATGCGTAAGTCCGGCAGCGCAGAACAGCAAGGAGAAGACAGACAATTGGTTTCACCAGCGAGCGAAGTGCTGCATTCTTGTTCGGAAAGCTTCAGGTCGTGAACGCAAAAGCAGTGTTCCAGTTGGCAAGGCCTTATGGTTGCTGGGAAAGTTTCACAGGGAAGCAAGCCTTCAGAAAGCACACATCCTTTCACGCGCTTCTGAGATTCCCGAGAGACGAATACTGGCAGTGCGCGCACTGCCGCAGATGAGAAAACCCAAACCAACGACGCATGCGCAACACGCAGGAGGTAAACCCCATCAGGGCGGATTCAGCACGTACAGTACCTGGCACCCGCCTCGGGGCAGCTTCCGCGGATCCTCTTTCCAATCCCCTGCAGCTTGAACAGACCAAGAGATTAGGGGTGAAACAGGCGTTAAACTAGCGGCCAGGAAGGCAAAGGCCCCCACCGAGTGACGTGGTATCCTCAGCCAGCACTGCTCAGTAGCTGTCAGGCAGCAATGCGAACCCCCCCAAAGCAGACGAACATGTTCCGTCTCAGACATAGCGCTGTCATGCCTGTCACTTGTGCAAACCTTTGGAAATGGTCGCCCCTGAGCTTCCAGCGTCGTTCCGCCTGCCAAACCACCCGTCATCAAGCACGAGAAGCCTCGGGAAAGCCAAGTAGCAACAACATTGACTTTGACAGGCATTTAATCTAGGAACACATGCGGCAGCTTCTCATATCCAGTTGCAACCCAGTAGCTCAACACCGACCTGCTTAGCAGGGCGCGCCTTGGTGCAGGCCATCATCATGGACTTTGACTGTATACACTTGCATTACTGTCTTCAAAACATGAAGCTCAAAGCCAACCATCCCTGCCAAAGTGACCGAAAATGTTTGAGAGCCCGGCAAGCTCCAAGATTTTGTCATGGTAAACCTCGTGGAGAGTGGCCCACCCAGCTCGTGAAATTGCTTCAAGCAGAGGGAAAAGTAACTGGAGCGAATGGCGCCAAAATCCAGGTGGCCTGGCCTCAAAGTACAAGGCCTCCCAGGTGTTGATCAGCACCGGGCAAATGAGGTCCCGCCAGCGCGGCGCAATTAACCTGAGGGTCACTGATAATTGCAAATGCCCAAGGCAAAGCCAGCCCAGTCAACAACAGGCTTTCATCCGTTTCTATACTATCCCAAGCAGACACAGAAATCACCATGCAAGCGGGACCTCTCGCTGAAAAGCCGGTGAAAGCTGCGAGTCATATCGCCAAGCCCTGCATCCGAGTTGGCAGAACCAGTCGACAGCTTAGGAAGTGACACAGTATCTCATAGTATCTCATGCTGCAGAAATTGTGCGCAGGCCTTTGTCGGAGAAGACACAGACACATTCAGGAGACTCAAAGGTCTCTTGCACACCTCGCAACTTTGGCAAGGCAAAGTTCAGAAAAGGAGCTCCGGTTTTAAAAGCTGACCATTTTTGAGCACTAGGATGTGCCGGTAGGCTTGCGTTGAAATCACAACTTTAGGTCCAAACGCAGATCCCAGTTGAAGTGCGTGTTGCTCAGACCTGGCATCGAACAGAGGCATGGTGACAACTTATGCGAGAAGGGTGCAAAAGCTTAATATGCTGCCAGGAGACCCACATTGACCCGGACGCATCCTGTCTGGCTTTGTTCCACCTGAGGCGACGATAAGACCCAATAAGATCTTTAGGACTCACAACAGGTTGCATTTGTTACTTGCCATTGCGGAAGCCTCGCAATCTCGCAATCTCATAAGACAGGCCTCGGTCAGCCAGTTGCCGGAGTACAGCAAGCAGAAGCCCCAGCACTGCCTCACAGACATCAGTCAGTTGGACGGCTCTCAAACAGGTCCCTTGTCTTCGGCAAGCAGACATACCAGGATAAGTCAAGCATATGCAATGGACTTGTTGCGCCATTTTCACCACCTCCTTCAGCCTGTTGGGTCACTGAGCGTGCTGCCCTGAGCTCTCAGCAGGCGGTCCAGCCGAAAGAACCTGGGCTACGAGCTGAACAGAACCAGTTCACCAAAAAGTGACTTGCGGAACTTCAGCTTGTTCAAGAATTGTAGATTGCATCATGCACTGAGGCAAGGGCACAAAAAGGGTTCATCTGATGGGAGGACACGCCGCGGTTGCTGCCAAGATGGATGGTGCCCTCTTGAAGCCTGGCGGACAGCAGCAGACTCTGTGCCAGCAAAGCCTGACGTCTACTCCTTAGCCCTCGGGACATGATCAGGAGACAGGATCCATGTCAAGCCGCACCGCCTACTGAGACGGTGGTTTCTTGCAAAATCAGAGCTTATAAGGCAGTGCACCTGCGCGTGGTGATTTGACGTTCGCAGGCCCAGCTGCCATGCAGCGAAAGCAGGTGCCAATCGTTTGTGAGAAAGTCGAAAGTTCCTGACCTCACCGCACAGCAAAGCTCTTCCCACCCAACAATCCGGTGGAACCGCTTCGAGCCCCTTGGATGTTTGTGAAAACGAAGATCAGCTCAGTAGGGGCAAGAAAGGGTGCTGGCTGCTCACTTCTCAAACTCTGTCCGTTTGGCTAAAGAAGGCACCATGAAATTGTAACTGACCACTCACCGAACGCCTGATCTCAGGAAACTGCATGCATTTCATCAGATCCACGCCGCCCAGACCAAGTCGCGAGCTATTCTTCACCACCTCAGCAGGGCAGACGAGAGCCAAAGGGGTATCAGGGATGTAAAGGGATTGTACAGGGCGTATATAGGGATTCTAAAAGGATTCTGTTGGGGTTGTATGTGGGCCAAGAGCGCTTCAAAGCTCCCTTTGCCGACCAGCAACAACTCGCCGGCTGACAGCGGAGATTCCAGGAAAAACCGTGTACACGAGCTGAACCTGAACCAAGTGCACACAGAAGCCGGCATGGATACACGGACAGTCACATAACCCATAAACATCAAAGCGTATTTAAGATATTTTAAGATATTGAAATAATCTGTCTGCACTTCTATAGCATGATTTATGAGACATCATGGTTTTATAATATCCCACACACCAGTCTGCTATCTACTCTGATATGAAATATTGCATATTATATCATATTATATCAGTCCCTGGCCTTCACTTCCGTGTAGGTGTCGATCATGTCCTTAGACTGACGAGCTGAAGTGGGGTTTCAAACCCTGCACTTGAATTTCAGAAATTTCAACTGGCTGGGACCGCTGCGATGATCAGTGTCTGGGCTCCCTGATTTTTGAAAGCACAACATGCAGAACTCCCCAGGTTGATACAGCTTCAGTCCAGACCGAAGTTTATTTGATTCTGTGGAGCCTTCTGTAAACTCCTCTTCGCAACCCTATGTTCGCACTTCCTGACGGAAATTTCCAAGCAATTCCGGCCTCGGGATTACGAGCGCCAAGCAGCGGCAGCCCCGATGTGGATGGCAAAATGCCAGACATGACCCTGCATGACGCACACCCGTGCTGTTCTTGCAGTGTCACCACTTGAAAGAGCAAAGGCAATCCCGATCAAAGGCTACTGTCTATGCAAGTCTGCAGCAGTGCCTATGGCGCTGGTACCTCAGTTGCAGGGGTACCAGCGCAGACTTGAGGTCATCCAATTACTCCGGAACTGTAATCTACAATTTCACCTCTTGCACTTGACGATGAAGATGAAGTTTCTAGGGCCCGCACACGAGTGGGAGAAGCCGCGAACCATCCTCCGGGCATCTCAGGAAAAAAGAGAAATCTGACAGCACAGTATTGGTGAGATGAAAATAGGCAAACAACTGTCACGCTCGTGCTTAAGCACCTACCTTGGTCACTCAACAGCATGCAGGCAGGCTCATAAAAAGCCGCAAAGCTGAATTAGAATGGAAGCTTAAACACAGAGTGGGTTATTTCCTGTGGCTTCTCTCCAGGCCTTGCGGAAGCAAATGTCTAGACTCGGCGTGCCTCAGAAGGCTTGGCTCGGCAGGATTCCTGGAGATGCATGTCCAGACTTGAACTTGAAGATTCCGGACAAGCTAGGATGGGGGCGGAAGTCTCCAGTGCCAAACTCTGAGACCTTAGACGTGCCACAGAAACAGAAAGAACGGCAAGTTCCTGCTGATGCATCGCAAGGTCTGTGTCTGGACGCTGTTTTTCTGCTCGTGCTACGTCGCACTTCCAAAAAGCAGACAGCGCAAAGAGTAGAAGTTCACATGACCGAAAGAAGCTATCACCTGTGTCTCCAGTCCGCTTTCCTGAAGTGCATAAGAACTGTTTGGAGTCTACACAGCGGGAGGATTGTCCTCGCGCAGGTAAGGATGCAGATTTATTACCGAGTTGCAGGGGTCTTGCTGTGGGGTCAACCACTGACAATACGAGGCAGGTTGGCGCATTAGCTCTTCGATCCCGATGCTTCTCAAGCAGAATACTGCGTTGACCAACGTGTCTCTTGGATGTTGCAACTTTGCCTCTGCCTGAAAGTTGGTGATCTTTCTTCTTCTGCTGCTATTGCTGCTGGAGTACTAACACCAGTATTACTTCTAGTTCTACTTCTACTTCTACTTCTTCTGCTGCTACTTATTCTACTGCTGCTACTACTAGTAGCCGCCCTCCCCCCCCCGGCACTTCAAATTCATGTTGAGTTCCACGAGGAGGCGACTAGTAGCGGCAGTAATGTTAGTATATTGGGTTCTGCCTCGACCTATCAACAGTATGTTTCAGGGGCCATTTTGTAAGGGCCCTACGTGGTTATATAACTCGAATCTTCTCAAACTATTGATGAGTGCAGGCAGCAGCCACGTAGCACTCGAAATCTCGAACTCGGAGCTTTTCACGTTCGCAAGTAATTGGTTGCCGAATGAGGTTTGCTTGACGGAACTACCCCCCCCCCACCCCTGGCCTCGCACTAACCTGTCGTCCTTAAGTAAAACGTGATGCCTGGGGGAGAGGGTACTAGCACTAGTACTGGGAAGCGTCCAGGACATTTGGCCAGCATCTGCGTGCTTGTAACGGGCAGTGGTCAAGGAAGTAGCAGTCATGGGTCTGCATGTGTCCTCGAAGTACTTCGTCCAGATTGCACAAAATTATAGCAGGCGCAGTAGATTTGTAGTTTAGGACATTTGGGATAGTGGTCCGTTGCCAAGATTGAGATTGTGCTGCCGAAGCTGCCTGTCCTTTTTATGCCTGCGCACCTGCGTCTTCTCAAGTAGGAGTTGGAAGGCGCAGTTGCTGTAAGGGGTGTCAAAAGTGGGGTTCCGAGCTTTGTATATTTGATGTTCTTGTGCAGCCACCATGTCACCAGAGGAGCTACATGCACCGTCCTTTGCTCTGCTGGAAGCCTGCCCCCATGTTCGAGTGTTGCGAGTGGGCAACAAGGCACCTTCTCCATGCTTGCGGCCTGTCCGGGAAGTGTGCTGGGGTGAGCTTTACGGCTGGCATGCAGTGCCAAGCCGCGCGGCACGACTTTGTGGAAGCTCTGGTATCCCATGTTCTTCTGGCAGCCTTCAGCATCAATGCTGAGCCAGGCATTGAAGCTGCGGTCGAAGCTGTAGTGGCTTACCGAGAATGGCTGGAGGACAGAGTCTCTCCAGCCATGTCTTTTAAGGAAAGTCCTTGTTGGGTTTGGTAGACAAGGAGTGGTCCCCTGCTCAAGCAAAGGAAGGTTGCATCATCACGGACGTTCTTATCCCCCCCTACCACCCCCACCACCCAACACCGAACATAGTCAACCGCCCGAATCCCGGGCAAACGTATAGGACGCACCCTAGTACTAGTACTAGTACTAGTACTGGTACTGGTACTAGTACTAGTAGTAGTACTACTACTA